TTACATTTTATTTATTTTTGATAGAGAGAGAGCACAAGTGGGGGAGGGGCAGAGAGAGACAGAGACACAGAATCCGAAGTAGGCTCCAGGCTCCGAGCTGTCAGCACAGAGCCCGACGTGGGGCTCGAACTCACAAACCACGAGGTCATGACCTGAGCCGAAGTCGGACGCTTAACCGACTGAGCCACCCAGGCACCCGTAGATAGATATTTTTTTAAAGTTTGGTGAATACTGGAGAAATCCCAGAGCCCAAGGACAGCTATAAGGCCCAGGTAGTGTGCCTGGCTGTGCTCTTCTCAGCGGCTGCTGGATTTGTAGAAATCAGTAATAATAGCAATGATAATTCACCTTAATAACAGCCTGGCCTCCTCAGGCTTCTTTCATCTGTGTTAACTCCCAGAGCTGGGAAAATGGTAATTATTGAGCAAGTGCCACACCCCAGCTATGATGTGTTATTAATCCATCAGCACAGGCTGGGAAACTGAGGCCCAGGGAGGCTTTCCCCTCACACAGAACTAAGAATACAGGAGCTGAGGGCCACTGGGTAGTGAGGAACTGAAGGTGCTGGTTCCGTTCCTGCTGCGTTTTGGGCCAGGGCCTCTGATCTTGAATGTGTGTGGACACTCACTCTGCCAAAGTACTGCAAAGCAGATCAACAGCTGCTTTGAGCACCTCTGGATCTCCGCAACGCACACAGGCACTGCAGGGTAAGTGAGCGCTCAGCCCTCCCAACAGCCCCACACTGCGGGCGCCATCTGCAAAGTGGGAACAAGGGGCATCTTGCAGCTGGGAGGGTGGATCAGATCAGAAATATGTCTAGAAGTGGGGAGACTACTTCTCAGGGAGTCAAGCCCATCTCTGCAACCCCCTTCCAACTTTGGCACTGATTTCAAAATAATGAGACCGTTCTTATAGCAAGGTGGCGTGGTCTGTCACTGTTGTAGAAACCTGCAGAGGAGGTCCAGATGGCCTGTGTCCTCCAGAAGGGCAGGGGAAGGTAGGCAAAGAGTCACAGACGACTAAAGATCTTTTCCCATCATGGCCATGGAGGGAAGCAGCAGAGGCTCAAATGAGGATGGGAGGGTCAACACAGAGGCACTGCCTGTGTGGAGCCATTCACAGCCTATGTGCCTGGTACTGTGAGAGATGCTGGGAACAGACACAATCTCAGCTCTGGGGAAACCGCAAGGGCCAAGCCAGGAGCAACCAATGACCTTGTCCTCCAACCTTCCAGGGCAGGGCCTGGGGAAAAACATTAAGGGTGGTGCTCTAGGGCATTGGAAGTTATTTTTCTTCAGCATGTTAGAGCTGACCAGAGCCCCTGAGATAACACTCTGACCCTCCAGCTCTCCACAATCTCAGGTTCAAGAAATGCCCTCTCTGCTTTAAGTTTGGCCAGGCCCCTCATGCATGAGAAATTAAGGCAGGCTGGAACCATGTAAAACACTAGACCAGAGTCAGGAGCCCTGCCTCTGACACTCATCATTGCATGAATCACTTCCCCCTCTGGACTTCACAGTTTCCCCATTTTTAACACGAGGGCGTTGGACTAGATGTCTCTAGGATTCCTTCCAGCCTATGACTATGTTGTTTTGATGTGGTGGCAGATCCCAGGTTGATTTACATAAATTTGCATGTTCAATCAGAAATCCCAAACTCCAAGTATAGAAAATCCAATCAGTCCATTAGTGCAGCCAGACTAGGGCTGGAGGAGCCTGCCAGGTTTGGGTGAGGATTGTCAAAGCAGACTGTGGTAGTGGTGGTGAATTGGGGGAGGAGCCGGGGGAAGCAGGGCGAGAAGTGGCATTTGTTCTAAGGGATGCAGTTCTGGTGAGCCAGAGCTGACGGGGCCAGGGTCCCCTCTTCAGCTATCAGGCAAGGGTCCTTTCTCCTCCTGCTTCTAACGGGGCCTCTGGCTGGCCAGCCTCGGAGCCACACCCCAAGAGGAAACAGCAGCCTCTGCCTAGCAACAGCCGCATCCTTCACTCTGACAGGGACTCCACCATTAACCACTTTCTGGGAAACTGACCTCCCTGGGAGCTTCCATTCTCCAATCCAGGGACTCCTCACAGTGAGGAAGGTTTCCTTGGGGTCTAACCTAAATACCTCCTGTTGTAGCTTCAATCCATGGGCAGCAGGGCCCAGGGAAGAGGGCTCCCCAGGCTCAGGAGAGCTAGCAATGCAGGAGAATGCGTCCCATGTCTAACCAATCCCACAGCCTCTCTAACTACCACCTCCTCTAACATCCCCCTTGGCACCTGGGAGATCAAGGATGAAAACAAACAAGGAAAACGTGAAGGCTTTGGCTCTTGGGCTAGAGAGCAAGTCCCAACCTGGAGAACCTGACTCCTGAGAAACTGTACCCCCAGGAGGGAAGGAGGCTGGGAAAGGTGGGGCTGGGGCAGTTTCTCCCTGCTGCTTGGCTGCCATGTTAGGGCTTGGGAGGCTGGCTGGACTGGGTAAAGGCAGCAGGGAGGACTCCTTAAGCCCACTGCCTGGGGACTGGGTAGGGAAGAGGGGTGGGGGAGGGCACAGGTGAGGTGAGTAGGGCCAGGGAGTGAGATGGGCAACAGCAGCAGGGCTCTCGTCCTCTTCCCATAAGAGGGTGGATGAGTGTGCTGTGCTCCCTGGCTCAGATCCTAAAACAAGTCCCAACAGCTGAGATGCAAACTGTCTCCTGGGAATCTGCTTACCCTACTGGCCCTTGGCTGCTGCCCCTTCTCTCAACTCCTCCCCAAAGGCCCAACTCAAAGACTGGCCTGCCAGGATGTCTCAGCAGAGGCCTTGATGGGTGGGCCAAACCCCAGCCAGCAAGAGTTCATATCCCAATCCACCAAGAGTAAGCAAGACAATGGCAGAAGAAGCGATTCTTCTTAGGCAGAATAAGGGAGTCTGCTCCTCTCCACCCAAGGTTCCAGTCCTAAGCAACTATGACTTAGAACTGTATCACCCAACATCTACCCCTTCCAACTTCAAAGGCACCCTGCCAGAGGACCTTTCTACCTTTCAGATTCACTTATCAGTGGAACCACACAATGTCAAAAAGCGAAAGGGAATGTTAGAGCTCTCTAGTGCAATTGCTGAATTTTACAGATAGGAGAAAAAGAGCCCCAGAGAGGCAAGCTCTCTTGGCCAAAGTCACACAGCAAGCTGGGAAGAGAAGACACCAGTGCTTCTGACTCCCAGTCCACAGAGATAGCAGCCTGGTCCTCATATACATTGGTTTCTGCCTACTGTGGAACAGCCTTCTCTGCAGCCCAGGCCATCTGCCTCTCTAGGTTCCCACTCTGTTCCAAAGACCTAAACTGGAGAAAGATGCTGGAGTGCCTGAGCCACCTCATGCCGAGACCACAGACTTAGAAAACAAAGTTGAATTATGTGGGAATAGATCCCCAGACAGGAATACACGTTTCTCTGAAGTAGGAAACCCACTAACCCTAGGCTGTTCACAGAAAGTCAGGGAACCAATACGAGAAGTGAATTTTGTGTCTCCCTTCTTGAAAGACCAGGGGTCTTGGAGTCAGCTGGCATAATGTCTTCCAAGAGAGGGTCTGCAACAAGACAACTAGGCTGGGTTCATTTTTTCCAAAAGTACTGTCCATAGAATGGTTAGACACTGACTCCCTCTCTCCTGTCCCCCAGGACCACCCCTGTCCCAGGCATCTTCCTCCAGCCACTACCTCTGGCAGACAGTTGTGCTTAGCCAAGAGGTCCCGTGGAGAGGGCGAGGGTGGTTGGGAGGGAGTAAGAGGGGTTTGCCTTCACAGCCAGGAACCCATCAGTGTAAGACCCCCCTGGTTCCTCAGAAAGGCGAGCATTTGCGAAGTAGCAGCTGGCAGGCTGGATGGATAGAGCTGAGAACCTGGAAAACCAGGCCTGCGGGAGGTGAGGGACCTTCGTGCCCTTGGGGCAGTGCCAGGACTGGAGACATGGGGCCTTGGGCCCAGAATAAGGAGAAGGGGGCTGGGGTTCGGTGAGCCGCTTTTCTAGTCGGCCTAGGCCAGGGGAGTGTCGGGCACAGATAAATTCTCTGCATTCTTCTGGCACCGCAGCCAGGACCCAGAGAGCCTTTTCTGCAGGCGCTGCCCTGGCCCCACACCCTGCCCAGCCCTTCTCCCTCCCTCAGTCTCTCTTTAGTGTTCAGCCTCCCGGCCCCCGCCTCCTTCCTTCCCGCAGCCCCTCAAAGCCACGGAAGGATTGTTCCTAGAGACCCTGATCTCTCCGCCTCTCCCCATCTTCCCCACGCCCTACCGCCCCAGGCCACGGGGACTGCAAGGAGGGCGAAGAGGAGCCCGGGGCTCGTCTCCGCGCCTGCGCTTTGGGGAGAGCCTCCCTCCCCCCCCTGCGCAACAACCCCGCACCGCTAAGCGGCACCCGGACAGTGAGATGCGGGTGGGGTAGGGTGCGCAGCTGGGGCAAGGTCAGTGCTTTCAAAGAGGGAGGGAGACCGGCCCCCGGAACATCCCCCTGTCCCGAAAGTTTCCCTTCCGGGGCCATGGAGTGTGCGCGAGGATGGCGCGGGGGGCGGTAGGGGGTGGGGTAGGGGTGGACAGAGTCGCAGCCGGACCCCCCACCCCCACCCCGGGACAGTGCGGCGGGAGGGAGGGGCAGGCAGCTAGGTCCGGGCAGGAAAGCGCGCCGCCCCCTCCGACCCTAGGCTGCCACGAGAGCCTTACCCTTCAAACCGCCCACCCCCAGCCCAGAGCTTACAGACCCTCCACTCGCCGCCTTTTAAATCCCAAGTAGGCCTGGAACTCACCGAAATGAGGTGCTGAACTGGGCCAGGGCAGGCCGGATCCGCCGGGTCCATGGCCGCGGCTCGGGGGCGGGGGGCAGAAGAAGGGGGGTGCTGGGGCCGCCTCTTGATGTCAAGGCTTTAAAGGGGCCAGTGAGCCCCGCCCCTCGCCGAGACCCCGCCTCCCTCCTTCCGCACAGCCAATCCACGTTCGCCCTGGATGCGCGCCCCTCCCAGCCCCCTCCAGATGTTCCCAGGACGAGAGCTAAGTCCGCCCGTTCGGAGAGCGCCGCTTCCGCCCCGGTGGGAAGGACCTCCCCTCCCCCTATAGAGAAACACTCTCCTCTGGCCCGGTGGGGTCCGGTTTGGTAAACCTTCCCGGTGCAGGGGGTAGAAGAAGCCGCGCTGGGCTGGGCGGGGGTGGAATGGGGGGCACCTATAGCACAGAAAACTAAGTAGGTACGCGCGGAGCCACGGGCATGCGCATCCGCTTCTGTGGGGCTGGGCGTGCACGTGTATGTGTGGTTGTGAGCCTTGGTGTTTGTAATTTGCCTTCCTGCTTACGTGTGGGGTGTAAATCTACGGGAAGACGCTCGAGTGCCTCCTTGGCCTTAAATGCTCCCTCCTCACTTTTCCTCCTCCGGATCGGTATCGGGTCCTCCCAGTAATATGGAAAACTGGGCGTTGGGAACGGGCTCCACTCTTTAGAGTAGCGCTGATTTCCTCACTGGAAGAGGTTAAGGCTGAGCAGAAAAAGGATATAACCTTGTTCTCAGCCACTTGCTATCTCGGTGGAGACAAGTAGAACTACTCTCAGGCTTAAAAGAAGAAAGCAAACACCCACCTAGGCCCCTGAAGGGCCTCAGAGCTCCCTTCAGTATCATTCTCATTGGTGCTGGATTAAACATCTATTTGCCCTTGTCTGGATACCGTATAATCTTCACAAACTGCATCATAGTGACTGGCCTGTTAATGCAAGTTCTGAATGGGGTTCTGCAGAGAAATACAAAGGGCTCCCTAGCCCATTTTATTAAAATTGCTTCTGTTGTGGGTATACACGGAAAGTAGTAATGCATTATATTAGCCCAATAAAGGAACATAAAAGCTGAGGGATCTTGGGGTGCTCACATTGTCTAGGATTAATTAAGAGTTCCTCTCTGAAGGAGAGAGGACTTGGGAATGGGATTTGAAGGGCAGAGAGAACTTGAGCAAATTCAGACAGGGTAAGGACACAAAGCGACCTAGGTAGGAAAGAGCAGATTAGTTGCATGGGACAGTGAGATCACTTGGTAGGGTGGGAAGTAGAAGTTAGCGGAGGAGGTTTTTGTACTGAGATCAGAATGAGGATATGGATTTGACAGGACAAGTGATAAAGAAGTCATTTTGGGTTCTTGAGCATAGAAATGAGTGCCTGAGGTCAATTATTGGAGCCTAAAAGATGTCATAATGGTTCTTCCCACCAACTGTCTCACCTTTGGTTTAAAACAAACTTTATTGATTGATTTATCCTTAACACACAATAAAATGCACAGATCTTAGGTGTTTTGTTTGGTGAATTTCAACAATAACATACACCGATGGAACACCCCGAACAAGAAACTGAACCATCACCCCAGAAAATTCCCTCATGCCCCTTTATATTTACAGTGAACTACCCTGCACCTACCACCACCCACGCCCTGCAACCTCCTGAATTCTATCACCATAGTTTTGTCTGTTCTTGGATTTTACATAAGTGCAATCAAATAGTATGCACTTTCTTGTGTCTATATTCTTTTTTTTTTTTTTTTTACGTTTATTTATTTTTGACAGAGAGAAAGAGCATGAGTGGGGAAGGGGCAGAGAGAGGGAGACACAGAATCTGAAGCAGGCTCCAGACTCTGAGCTGTCAGCACAGAGCCCAATCCGGGGCTCGAACTCACCGACTGCGAGATCATGATCTGAGCCAAAGTTGGACGCTCAACCGACTGAGCCACCCAGGCGCCCCTGTGTCTATATTCTTTAGCTTAGTAATGTTTTTGACTAAAGTGAGTCTGTTCTTTTTATTGGAGAGCAATATTCCATTGTACAAATATATCACAATTTGTTTATCCATTCTCCAGTTGATGTATATTTGGGTGTTTCCAGTTTGGGGGCTATTATGAGTAAGGCTACTATAAACTTGTGCAAATCTTTTTATGAATATGTTTTCATTTCTAAGAAAGCTCACTTTATTTTTTTGAAGTATTATTAAAATACAATCATATTAATTTCAGGTGTACAACATAGTGATTCAACATTTATATACGTTGCAAAATGATCACCATAAGTCTAGTTACCATCTGTCCCTAAAGTTCATACAATTTTTTTGAGTTTATTTATTTTGAGAGGGAAAGAGAGAGAGCACAGCAGGGGAGGAACAAAGAGAGAGGGAGAGAAAGAGAATCCAAAGCAGGCCCCGAGCTGTCAGCGTGGAGACCCTTGTGGGACTCGAACTCACAAACCAGGTGAAATCATGACCCGAGCCAAAATCAAGAGTTGGTTGCTTGATCGACTGTGCCACCCAGGCGTCCCAGTTCATACAATATTTTTGACTGTATTTCCCATGTCATACAATACATTCTCATGACTTATTTGCTCTATAACTGGCAATTTAAGCCTCTTGATCCCCTTCACTCATATTGCCCACCCCCACCCCCCATCCTCTTTTTTTTCTGGCAACTATCAGTCTGTTGTCTGCATCTATGTCTGGTTTTGTTTTGTTTTTCAGATTCTACATGTATGTGAAATCAGGGGGGTGTTTGTCTTTTTCTGACTTATTTCCCTTAGCATAATACCCTCAAGGTCCATGTATATTGTCCCACGTGGCAAGATTTCATTCATTTTATGGCTAATATTCCATTGTATGTACATGGGTATATGTATTGTATATATATGTACGTACACACACACACACACACCCCACATCTTGTTTATCCACTCATTTATCGATGGACACTTAGGTCGCTCCATATCTTGGCTATTGTAAATAGTGCTGCAGTGGACACAGTGGTGCATAGATCTCTTCAAGTTAGTGTTTTTGTTTTCTTGGATAAAAACTCCAGAGTGGAATTGCTGGATCATATGTTAGTTCTAATTTTTTGCGTAACCTTCATACTGTTTTCCGTAATAGCTGCACCAATTTACATTCTCACCAACGGTGTACAGCTGTTTGCTTTTTTCCACATCCTCATCAACACTTGTTATTTCTTGTTTTTTTGATAATAACCATTCTAACAGGTGTGAGGTAATATCTCATTGTGGTTTCCGTGTGCATTTCCCTGATGATGAGTGATGTGGAGCATCTTTTCATGTGCTTGTTGGTCATCTGTAGGTCTTCGGAAAAATGTCCACTCAGACTGTCTGCCCACTTTATCTTAATCTTTTTTTTTGCCCTGTTCCCCCTCTTCTGCCTATTTTATTTTTTTCAACGTTTATTTATTTTTGGGACAGAGAGAGACAGAGCATGAACGGGGGAGGGGCAGAGAGAGAGGGAGACACAGAATCGGAAACAGGCTCCAGGCTCTGAGCCATCAGCCCAGAGCCTGATGCGGGGCTCGAACTCACTGACCGCGAGATTGTGACCTGGCTGAAGTTGGACGCTTAACCGACTGCGCCACCCAGGCGCCCCATCTTCTGCCTATTTTAAATCAGATTTTTTTTGTTTTTGTTTGCTGTTGAACTGTATGAGTTCTTTATATATTTTAGACACTAGCCCCTTATCACACATAGGATTTGCAAACATTTTCTTCCATTCAGTAAAGTTGCCTTTTCATTTTCTTCATAGTTTGCTTCACTGTGCAAAAGGTTTTTAGTTTGATGTAGTCCCGTTAGTTTATTTTTGCTTTTGTTGCCCTTGCCTGTGGAGTCAGGTCCAAAGAAATATAGCTAAGACTAATGTCAAGGGACTTATTATGCTTTCTTTGAGGATTTTTATGGTTTCAGGTCTTACATTTAAGTCTTTAATCCATTTTGAGTTGATTTTTGTGTATAGTGTTAAGATAGTGGTTCAGTTTAAAAAAAATTTTTTTTCAACGTTTATTTATTTTTGGGACAGAGAGAGACAGAGCATGAACGGAGGAGGGGCAGAGTGAGAGGGAGACACAGAATCGGAAACAGGCTCCAGGCTCTGAGCCATCAGCCCAGAGCCTGACGCGGGGCTCGAACTCACAGACCGCGAGATCGTGACCTGGCTGAAGTCGGACGCTTAACCGACTGCGCCACCCAGGCGCCCCATATAGTGGTTCAGTTTTAATCTTTTGCATGTATTGCACAATTTTCCCAACACCATTCTTTGAAGAGATGGCCTTTTCCCTGTTGTATATTCTTGCCTCCTTTGTCGTAGACTAATTGATCATATATGTGTGGATTTATTTCTCAGTTCTCAATTCTGTTCTATTGATCTTTGTGTCTGTTTTGTGCTAGTACCATTCGGTTTTGATTACTATAGCTTTGTAGTATAGTTTGAAGTCTGGGAACAGGGTCCACCTTTGTTCTTCTTTTTCAAGGCTGCTTTGGCTACTTGGGGTCTTTTGTAGTTCCATACAAATTTTAGCATTATTTGTTCTATTTCTGTGAAAAATGTCATTGGTATTTTTATAGTTATTGCATTGAATCTGTAGATTGCTTTGGGTAGTCTGGACATTTTAACAATATTAATTCTTCCAATCCATGAGTGTGGTGTATCTTTCCTTTTATTTGTGTCTTCTTCAATTTCTTTCATCAGTCTCTTATAGTTTTCAGAGTACAGGTCTTTTACTTCCTCAAATTTATTTCTAGGTATTTTATTCTTTTTGATGTAATATGAATGGGATTGCTTTCTCAATTTCTCTTTCTCATAGTTTGTTATTAGGGTTATAGAAACACAACAGATTTCTGTATATTAATTGTGCATCCTGCAACTTCACTGAATTCACTTATTACTCATTTAGTCTAATAGCTTTTTTAGTGGAGTCTTTAGGAAGCTCATCTTGTTGATATTTTTGGAATCTTTTGGCATTGATTCTTATTCATTCAATCATCCAATATTTCTTGAAAAGGAATCAGTGGGCTAGTCCTGGGTTTACAATAAAAATTAGACATGAGCCTTTCCTCACAGGGCTTAAAAATCAGGAAAACTCCACGTATCTATTACATTCCACAACCACAGGGTGGAAAAACCTTAATAGTATGCCACGCATTTCTAACCATTTGGGGATGTTTCCAAATAACTAAATTTTTGGAAATAAACAAACCATCTGAATTTTTTCCTTTTCATTCAGATGCTCACCCTCAAAAAAAAAAAAAATGAACATCTACACTTGTCACAGCACGTATCTTCTCTCCTTACTTTAAAGCTCTTGCACACTTG